AGAGATGATGTCAGAAAATGAGGAAGTCAAGATCTTACGGATCCAAAACGGATAGACACCTTGAACATAAGACACAAGACATAGTAATAAAACAAAGAAACGTCTGGATCATTGACATTGCAATTCCAGGGGATGCCAGGGTTTAAAATGAAGAATTGGAAAAATTAGCAAAGTACAGAGCCATCAAAACATCTCGCCTCTGGAAGAAGCACACTTCAATGGTCTCCATAGTTATTGGGGCTTTGGGAACAATATCAAGAAACTTTACTCAGTACTATAAGCAGTTGCACATTTCAGAAATCACACCATCAGAGCTACAAAAAACGGCAATATTAGGAATAGCAGACATACTGCGCCGATATTTAACAGATACTTGGGTTTTTGGTCAAAAGCAGTTTCAATCGAGACTGAAGGATGCCTAATTAACTAACTAACTAAGTTTCTATCTATCTATCTATCTATCTATCTATCTATCTATCTATCTATCTATCTATCTATCTATCTATCTAATCTCTGTTATGTAATACCAGTCAAGGTTTTTATATTGTTGCCTGTGTCTGGCATTTCATTGTCGTTGTAGTAGTAGTGGTTGTTGTTTGCTTTGTTGTTACAATTAAAATTAAAAAACAACCTTTAACCTGCAGAGCTGGAAAAGACCCTCCGGATCATTAAGTTGAGCCCCTCTCAAGGAGGCACAGTGGAGAATCAAACTCCTAACCCCTGGTCCCCCAGCCAGGGACCTAAACCACTGAGGTATCCAGCACTCGTATTTTTTTAATTTGGCAGTAGAGTTCACTTGTGGAAGCAAAACCATGCAAGCTATGTTTATTTGTACATTGCAAACTAGATCTCTGCTTGCAGGGATGTTCCTACTCCCTATATCAATAAAGAAGTACCACCAGAGCTGATAAAATAAGGGAACCGATTCCTTAACTATCTTTTTGCCAATCCAGAGAGGCTCTCGTGGCTGTGTGGGAGTGCTGGGGCTCTGTGCAAGCAGAACTGCTCCGTGCTGTCTAAGTTCAGGGTCCCACGCTGTGCAGAAGGAACATTCTGTAACATTGGACAGAACAGGAAAGCCACGGCTTCTGTAGAGCTCCCTGTGTATCTTGGACTTAAAAGATCTGTTGAAAGGAAGAGAAGCAGAGGGCAAATGTATAAGAGGAAAATCAATATGAGAATTCCAGAGTGGAAAGAAGATTTTAAATAGGCATTTAATTCCAGTTGAGAGATCAGGCCGATCTTCACTTGCTGAGGTCCTGCATGGGAACTGTTCCAGTAACCCTTGTAAATGAGTATGTGTGTTTGTGTGTGTGTGTGTGTAAGAGAGAGACTATGCACAAAAAATGTGCATTATGTTTGCAGCATTCTGCTATAAACACGTGGCAGTGTTACTGCATTCAGGGCTGAAATATCCTCAAATATGTGCTTGTTTCTCCATTGAGTGTCATATGATGGCTATGGTAGATAAAAGGAGATTCTTGTGTGGAAGACTGTGCGTTTATCATAAGTTGTTGATGTACTGGGCCTTTTATTTTACTTGATTATTGTAATCTGTTGTAACTATCTTGACACAGTAAGGAAAACAGCCAGTGTAATGTCTTGATCAAAATTTGCCTGTCTTCGGGAAATATTTTCTGTTCCTTCAATCATAGTCAATTTAACCTCTCTTCGTTTTGATCAATTTAACAGCAGATCAGTTGTACAGAGAGGGAATGTGTGCCATCCGTAATTGGGACCGACCTTTGGGCAAAAGGTGTCAATCTGCACAGCCTCTAACCTGCCAGGGTTTTCATAAAATGTCTTCATCAACATACCAGTTAAATTGGATTAACGGTCATGGCTTACTTAAATGTGACCTGGAGTTTTGAGCAGATAATTATATGTGAGCTTGTTATAGGGAATATTATTCTTCTGAAGCCAAATCAAGAAGGAAGTATCTGTAGAGCTGGTGGGATTACATGTTTTTTAGATGTTGTGGGGGGAGGGAACCTGGGGGGGGCAGTCCAGACAGGTTATAAAAAACAAGAGGGACTGAGCATGCTCAGTGACAATGAAATACACTTAGTTTCCTGAGACTAGAGAATCAGAAAAGGAGTGTGTGAATTATGTTAGCCACCCTGTGAATCACCAAGGGTGGCTGGCTGTAATACTGAACTAAAACTGTCCATATTTTGTTGAAATCTCATATTTGAGAAAGGAGCATAGTTATTTAATTGAAGGTTGTTTATAATGTAGAAATGACTGTATGTACAGAAAATGCATGATTCCTTTAGAATGTTTCTACAAGGTTTGTTCTCATCTCCCTGTCGAATTATATAGAGAGCTAAAATGTTTTTTTCTTTTACTGCTTTTGTTTCTTTCATGAATGGGAACATTGTCAGCTATCAACTTTAGTCTGTTCCGGCAGCTTTACAAGAGAAAGTTCCAATGGGTTTGATACCGGGGCAGAAAAATCTTTAAAGGCGGTGTGTCTTTCATTTGACTGGCAGTTGCACGTTAGACAGAAAAATGTAGTTCTAGATGTGGGAGGATTGTGGCCTAGTTTCTGATGAGTTTGAGTGATACGATCTCTCTGCTCTGCTGATAGGTAATTGGAAAAGACGAAGTAGCTGTACCTTCGCACTTGTACAAAGTAATTCTTGCCAGACGGAGTGAAGCATCTACAGAGCCGTTGGCCCTCGGCGCCTTCGTGGTACCCAACAACCCTATCGGCTTCGATCACCAGCTGCTGGAGTTCCAGGTTAGCCTCGAAGCCCTGGAAAGAATGTCAGGCCTTGTTTTCTTCCCACTGGTGAATAAAAGCAAAGATGTTCGAGATATTTGTGAAGTTGATACTTGCAAACTGATGGACTTGGAGGAGTTCACTTTGTACATCTCCGCACGGAAGCTGCAGAACGCCAGGACCCTGGAAAAGTTGGAAAAGATCATGTCTGACTTGCAGCGAAAAGGAATCAAACCTGATGAATATTTCCTAAAAGTTTATGAGAAGAAGAAAGAAGAATTAGCAACGCAGGAGTCAGATGAAACCAGAGAAAGGAGAGCTGGCTAATAAGCTCATTTCACTATTTTTCCAGTGACCAGAATCCTATTTGTGTCTGGATAATTTGACATGTCTGATTGATTAGGCGCTGGGGTGTGTTTTGCCCACATGCGTGATCAAGTGGCCAGCAGCATATCTGTGTTGCCTCCCATCACCTCATTGGTTAGCCGCAGTTAGCCGCCAAAAGGGATGCAAACCTTACATGAACACCAGTTAGATATAGAGAATTTTCCAGTTGCCTGCACTTCTGTGATAAAAATGCAGCACTTTGCTGTGAGAAATTTTAAAAGCCACCCACCATGGGTACAGGTCAATAGTGGGGCTTCTGGTCAATTGTTTATGCTTCCCTCTAAGAGGGGAAACATATAAATAACCCATGATTAGAGTAGGAAAATCCTTCACAGCTAATCATATGCAAATGTCACAGGAGGAGAATTTGTCACCTCTGGGAGTTTTCAAAATAATTCTTTTCCTTTGGCAATTGAGTTTTCAAAGTAATTCTTTTCCTTTGGCAATTGATCTTCAGGACTTAAATACGGGGATTTTTGTCAGGTCTGGCTGAAAGATTGTCTGAGCCACAGCTCTCCAACACTAAAATGCTTTCAGCTCTAATTACGGACCTACTGGAATGCCGGCTTGTGCCCTAAATTGCTCATCAAATGTTGTCTATAACCAGAATCTCTTTGACGAATAAAAAATTGTTTTAAAAAGTTTTTTTTTTCAAGGAATGTAAGTAAAACTTGTTTTCATGTAGCATGACTTTTCTAACAGGAAATGTTGATAAATGATGTTTGTTTCCTTTATATAGACTGTAGATACACTCAATTAGATTAAGGAAAATGGTAAATAGATGACTTCTAAAAAACGTAATATTGTTTGTAAAAGAAAGTAACCTTTCCCTTCAAAAAATGTTTCTACAGTTATCTTTATTACAGTTATCTGGTTATTCCAGAAAACTCCTAGTCTTCCAAAAATTTGTTTTCTCTTTTGTGAATATAATGCCAGGTAGATTATGTTCTTATATAAGCTGACATGTTCCCTGTATGTTTCTGATGCTCTATCAGGATAATCTTGCCATCAAAAGGTTGGCTGCTAGGTGGCAATTTGACCATAGCAACTGTGAACACACGAATGGTATAAAATAGTTGCAGTCTGTTTCAGAGGAGGTAACCTTTCATCGGAGCGAACGTATTTTATATTTGTCTTAAGTATGTATGTATTATCCAATGAACGTGATGCTTATTAAACTTTAATACAATCCACGTCCCATTCGTTTTACCACAATAGCTTCCCTAAAGAGCCAGTGCTATTTGTTAACATTAGATAAAGGTAAAGGTTGCCCTTGGCAATTTTTGTCCAGTCGTGTTCGACTCTAGCGGGCGGTGCTCATCCCCGTTTCCAAGCCATAGAGCCAGCGTTTGTCTGAAGACAATCTTCCGTGGTCACGTGGCCAGTGCGACTTAGACACGGAACACTGTTACCTTCCCACCGAGGTGGTCCCTGTTTATCTACTCGCATTTGCGTGTTTTCGAACCGCTAGGTTTGTTAACATTAAATCCATGAAAAAGGTGGTTTGCTGATGTGGCTGATACTCTGATGAGTTGAGAAACTGTATGTTACTTCAGATGAATTTCCATGAACATCTTCCCCCAAGATTTTAATTCTGTTGCTCATTTTGTTCTTCCCTATTACAGGGGGCAGCTTCCACTCCCTTTGAGGTCCATGTTCATGCCTCTGGGAGGCTCTTTCTGTACATATTTGGGGGGGGGGAATTTCTCCCCTTTTGTGTTGCCTTCCTTTCCAATCTACAGCTTCTGGACCATATTGCAAGGTTTTGTTATTACAGTGGTTTTTTTTTAAACAATAGGGAAGTTACACAAAGCTAGATACAGAAGATTTTGCAGTTTGGAGGAGAAATTGAAAGAATATATTCAGTTCTATTTATGTACTTCTGTAAATGACTCCAATGGCCTTTTCTTTTCTCCAACATATGCTTAAGCTGCAAATACTGTGACAGATGTGTTGCACTTAGTAATAGATCTTTGGAACTGTGCTATGTAAGGACGTAAGATCTGACCAAAGACCAGATTTGATAGACATAACCATCTTGTTCATGCAGTGGTGAAGTAGACCCCCTTAGGGGGTTTACAACTGAATATGAGTACAGTAGCCCCTTTCTGGTTCTCCAACAATTGGTTTGATAAGTCATGACTCCTCTGATAATGGAGTTCCTTTTTTAAAAAAATCATTTTTACTCTACCTTTCTGTCAGAAAAGCACAGAAGCTAGCTAACAATAATGCGCATTAAACAAAAAAAAGTTTAGAATTAACATGTCACATAAAATCAGAGGCATTTTAAAATTTGCTGCTTTTAAGTTGATTTATATCCCACCTGTCGTCAAGACATCTCAGAATATTTGACAGTTCACAAGCACAACAATAAAAAGTACAAAAAGCACACATCATTTTGCCTGTCTTTGACCAGAGTACATGCTAAAGGCTAGACTGAATAAAAGTGTATTTGTCCGCTTGTGGAAGGGCTAGAGGGAATTTCTTGGTAGGGAATTCCAGAGCCTGGGAGCAGCCACCGAAACATCACAACCCTACCAGATGTGCCGTCAATGATGCCTGGACCAACAGAAGGACCTCCACCTTAAAGCTTGGAGAGGCTTTATGGGAGACGGTGGTCTTTGAACAAGCCGAACCTTTGACTATATGGTTTTGGTAGGACCACTGCCCTGCTAAGCCAGTGCGTAGTGACTTGTGTTGTTTGTATATCTTCCATGTCTCATATGCCAACAGTAAAGGAGAGGAAGGAATGACTATGACCATAAATCATACAGGGTTGTTTGGCCTTGCCAGTTTATTGTTATAGTGGTTCAATTCTTTCCATTTTTTTTTTAAAATAAAGAACTTATATTGGATTGCCTGTGTGGTCCGGAAACGACTGACACAGCAGAAATGTGCAAGTGATGGGTCCCTCGGATGAGAAATTGCCAGGAGCTGCATCTAAGAGTGAGAAATAAATATGGATAATACAGGCTTTAAAACCCGTAGCCTTAATACCTCCGCTTTCGATTGCATATTTCAAGCAGCTCTCCTTTATCAAGGCATCACACATAAGTCAGGGCTTATGTGTGACATGAATGATAGTAAAAGGGCAACCTCAGATTGCAGAAGTTAGAAGAACAGTCTGGCCATCTTGTTTTCTAGGTTTCATCAGGCACATCATGGAACATATTCAAGCACGTGGTCTTTAGAGGCACTGAAGAGCTACAGTCATTAGGTGTTGACCCAGCAACAGTCTCTTAACCATTTATGAACCCTTTATAGATGAAACTTTGTAAAATTATGGCTCAAATAATTCACAAGAGAACATAGATGGTTGCTGGATGGAGCAGCCCCTGTGGTCCTGCGCAGTGTTTCTCTCAATGGCCCTAAACTTAAATGAATTTCAGGTCTTTCACAAAAAGAATCCACTCAGTGTATTTTTTTTTTAAACATTCTGGTTTTTGAAGATTGAGGTGCCATGTAATTTGGCTTTCAGGATGGGAAATATTGCCTTGGGCATCCTATTCTGTGTGGTTTTTAAAAAACCCGTCTGCTTCTTGTTATTTGAATTGTATAGTTCTGGTGCAGCTACCGCAAGGGAGGGAAGGGGCGGTGGTTTTTATTTGACTGCCCATTTGTATGCAGTAGCTTATAGGCAAAGCCTTCACAAAGCATTGCCAAAGTATGAAAGGGTACTTGGGTTGATTGGGCACATTATAGGGGCACTCATTTCCTGGGTGGGAGCTCTCTGGCATTCTAGATCCAAATAATATCTTAAAGATTTCCATTAGATTCAGAAAAGCAGTTCAGAATTATGAAACACCAGCCAGCAGCACCAAAATCAAAGTAAAAACATATCGGAAGGCCACCTGGAAGAGTTGAGGTTTTTAAAAAGCATTTTTAAATCTGTACTTCTCAAACTTAGACCAATTCATCTGGAAGGCATTTCCATAACTGGGGCCATCAGTGGGAAAGTGCCCCTTCTTATTCCCATGAGCCTAACTTCTCTCACCAGGAGATATATTGAATGAATGTTTAGGACTGGCTATGCACACGAAATTATATACATGCCATGGAACAGCAAATATAGCCAGATTGTGGGACATGTATACTTTATGGCAGATAAATGATGAGTAAGGCAATTTACTCTCATTGATGTTGTGAATAGCTTCTTCTCTTTGCTTAACACTTAGTTCATGCCACTAGGTCCATAGGTAAACATAAAGGTTCCGACATTTAGTCCAGCCGTGTTCAACTCTAGGGGGCGGTGCTCATCCCTGTCTCCAAGCCGTAGAGCCAGCGTTTGTCCGAAGACAGTTTCCGTGGTCACGTGGCCAGCGCGACTAGACACAGAATGCCATGACCTTCCCACCAAGGTGGTACCTATTTATCTACTTGCATTTTTACATGCTTTCGAATGGCTAGGTTGGCATGAGCTGGGACAAGCGACGGGAGCTCACTCCGTCGCGTGGATTCGATCTTACGACGGCTGGCCTTCTGATCTTGCAGCACGGAGGCTTCTGCGGTTTAACCTGCAGCGCCACCACATCCCTGTTCTAGATTCATACACTCCATGAATTTTCCTGAGCAACTGAACACTTCAGGGTTCTACATAACACATATTTTCTTAGTTACAGTTTAAAAAAAAAAGGAATGTAACCTGGAAAATAATAATGTTGTCTCAAGTAGCAATATATAGTACCACCCTGTAACTTACCAGCTAATGATAAATACATTCTGAAAAGTAGCATTAGTTAATTTTTAAAAAATAACCTGTGGTGACAGTGTCACTGATAAGAACATTTGGCTTTTGAAGAGGGATTTGAAAAGCGAGGGAAAGAGTTGACTGTGTTTGCGGCCTGGGGGAAGGTGTAGAGCAATTTGTGGCCTGGGGGAAGGTGTAGGGCATCTTGAATATTCCTCACAACGTTTTCTGTTTAAAAGAGGCTCAAAGTAGTTAAAACAATGTATTAAACATTTAAAAATAATATACAGTTTAATACAGTAGCAAACAGTAGAGGCCACTTCACTTCCCAGGTGGTAATTCATACATTTTCAGCTCAACAGACAAAAAGCTTAGTGGAGAAGAAAGGACAGTTTCAGAGTTTAGACACAGAGAAGGCATTCTTGGAGAGAAAACAAAATAGTTGATTTTGTGTTCTCCAAAGCTGAGGAATTCTCCTAAGTTAGCCTGCATAGAAGTTGGAAAGATACTTTTAACAAGAGTTTCCAACGCCTTGGTGCATTTATTGCATTCTTAAAATGCTTTGAAGTGACTATTTTGCAGTCCTCAAAAGTAACTGCAAGGGTTACTTCTAGTAAGCGGTCTATCTATCTTACAGGAGTTTTGCCAGGATTATGGCAAAATATGTTCATGGAGTGCTTTGAATAGTGATAGCGTTGTACTGACACAAACTTTAATTCATTTGTTTTATTATTACAGTGGTGCCTCGCTTACCGATGTTAATTGGTTCCCAAAAAAATCGCTATGGGAAAACATCGCTAAGCGAAACACCATTTCCCATAGGAATGCATTGAATAGGAATGCATTGAATAGTGAAACAGAGGGACCCAAACTGTCATCGCTATGCGAGGCATAGTCCCGAACATCGCTATGTGAAATTTCTCCATTGGAAACATTGCTAAACGGAGCGCAAGATCGCTCCTAAAACCTCATCGTTAAGCGAATAGATCGTTAAACGAGGCAATCGCTAAGCGAGGCACCACTGTACTTTGGAGGCAAGGCATTGTCTGGGGCAGTGAAGTTCCAGCCCTAACCTTAGGAAGACAGAACCTCTTCCTCTGCAGTCTGAGGTTACACTGAATATTCACAAGCACATTTTTAAAACTAGTCTCCATGGAGGGGCATAAACCTTCAGAATCCAAACATCTGAGGCTATCTAGATTCGCCACCTCTCCATTCCGAGAAAGGTGGTGTCCCACATTCTTTCAGCAGCCCTTTTCAAATGGGAGTAAAGCTTTTAAAATAAATAACGAGTTAGTCCATTTTGGTATTTTTAGATCCCCGACGGAGTCCTTTGCCCATTTTAGCAGAGACAGACGGAGCCCTCCACCGACACCCTGACTCTTCTGTGCTGAATGTTACACGGGGGAATACGACAGTTAAGGATGTGCCATGCCTCTTTGGTTACCGTTTGTACGATCTGTTTCTAGAAGGCACTACCGCCTGCTTTTCCATTTAACCCGTTTCCTATTGTTTGCTCCGAACTGACTAGTATTCTGCCCTTGTTTCCCTTTGAGCGGCCTTGGGTACCAGAGATTCAACTGCAGGTCTTGAAGGGGATGTCCAGTTGCAATAGAATGACGGGATGAACCCATCGGTGCTCCGCAGCATTCTGTGTTTGATGTCTAAATATTTCAGACATGATGTTAGAGGGCTCGTATTAATTTCTAACCATGGATATTTCCTCTCTCTCTCTCTCTCTGTGTGTGTGTGTGTGTGTGTGTGTGTGAGAGAGAGAGAGAGAGAGAGACAGACAGACAGGCAGAAAGACAGACAGACAGAGAGAGACAGAGTTGGAAAAACCACAATTTCTTCATGTAATTTCAAGGAGATGATTTTCATATAAGGCCGGTGTCCTTAGGATGAGGAGTGTCCCATCTCTCTACACCAGATGGAAGTGTTCCAAAAGTTTCTGTTGAACAGAAATGTAGTGGGTGAGCAATCTCTCAGAAGCTCAAATCAGGAGAGATGCAAATTTGCATGCAGTTAGTACACCTTCTGCTTTCATGACTTCAGTGCTATTTCTGCCCTGAGGCTGATGAAGTATATCTGGAGGAAGAGACATGTCAGTGAGAAGGGCAACGTTCATGCATAAACTGTAACATTAATTGGAAATCTTTCAATCAGTCATTATAATTTCACAGGGCATAACTGATCTGTGGAAACCTCTTGACTAGTGGGTACTACTATAATGTTCATGTCATAATATTTTTCTGATAGTGATTCTATCTATCTATCTATCTATCTATCTATCTATCTATCTATCTATCTATCTATCTATCTATCTATCTATGGCCAAAATACTGTGGCGATTTAGAGTTAAATTATATAAATCATTGTGGTGAATTACTGCTAACAAACAAGGGGCTGGTCATCTTATGAAATGCACACCCAAGTAACATGACCAGCCCCTTGTTAGTAAGCAGCAATTCGCCATGGTGAGTTTTGCAATTTAACTTAAAGTGTGACTAAATCATCAACAGGACTCTGGCGAACGAAGTATGCTGTCCAAGCAAGAATTTATGAGGAAAAATTGTGATCTATAAATATTTGTATTAAATCATTGCTAACCCCGAAGGGAGGGGTAACAGCAGACAAATTCCTCACATTTATACTTTCCTAGCTTAGGTTGCTTATTCGTTTGAATTTTATCCTGTTCCAACTTATAGACGACTCATGGTGTCCTTTAAAAAAAAAGGTGGCAGTATGTTAATATACAGCTAAATGTGGTAAAATTAGTATCCTCTTATCTTTCTGAAACAGGTTGATCAAACCACAATTGAAGACTGGAGTGGAGGAAATTAATAAAAATAATATGAGTCAGTATTTTGTCACATGTGACAGTGCGCAGATGAAGAGATGACATAGCTCAGTGGGCCGCAGAGCCATCTGGGTGCGGAACCAGGGACCGAAGGTTTGAATTCTTGTATCTCCAAGGAGGGGAACCAACTGAGATCACCTGCGGTGTGTCTGTGGCTGATGGGGTTATCTGCCCTGATACCGGTGTGGCCTCAGGCAAGCCGAATGCTCCCAGAAACCCTCTTCTAAATACTCAATAACTAGAAGACCCTAGAAGGGCCACCTAAGGCCACCGGCAGAGTTGGGTTTCAAGCTGAAGACCTCATGATTTGCAGCTTAGATTCTTAACTACTATACTACACCAGCCCTCATTAGATAAGAACATCAGCAGAATTCTCCACAGCCAATTGGATGCCTTCTGGGGATCCAGAAGCAGAGCATGGTGGCCAGCCATTGTGTCTCCTGCTCCTTCTCCCCTGGGAGGGAAAACTGGGTTTCTCTTTTTTAACACAAAATACCATTTAGCCATCACATAGGTTAACAGACGTTGATAAACTAATTTACGGAGAGTCGTCTAAATCTGATGGATCATCAATCTGAGACAAGACAGGTGTATTTGAGTATGCTGGCTGGTCTGATCGTTTCTTCTTATGTCAGTGTTTGTTGCCTAGCAATGAGTTTAAAAGAGAAGTACAGTATGTGTATGCATATGTACACACACAACACACACACACACACACACAGAGAGAGAGAGAGAGAGAGAGAGAGAAAGTGCTCAGCAGGTACTTTGATTCTGCTTGGGAGACAAGCAGTACTCCTTAACCAAGTTATGTTTGAATGCTCTCCTTCTGTAAATATGCAGGAACAGCTTCCCTCCTGTGCTGCAAAAGAGTTGACCATCAGCAGGGAAGGAGGAAATGCACCTTTTTTTTTTCATTCGGGCCCGTCCAACCATACTCACCTATGCACGGTCCTACCGAAGGCGTTTCCTAATAGTAATCTATTGCCATAATGAATGAACAACCTGGTGCTTGCATGGGTCACAGTGAGGGTCTGAACAATGGACTGAAATCTTCATATAAAAATACCTCAAGAGCCACTTGGGTGGATTAGTTCAAGAGAGTCAAATCAAACACACAGCTCTCTTGTTTATTGAATGTGCTCCTGTTTCATGAAACAGTGCACGATATTTCAGGATATCCCCACTGTGTTCTTGAATCAGCGCCATCAAGGTGCTTTCTCGCCCGTTGGGGGCAAAATTAGCGGCTGCTGAACAACCAGGGTCTCCGATTCATCGTGTTACGAAAGACCGAGCGAAACCCACATGGCTCTGAGCACACAAGAACAGTCGCCCACTTTTTTTCCTTGAAGACCGACGAGGCACGGATCAGAACAAGAAGTACAGTCGGGAGAGTCAAATATGACTTCAGAAGCAGGAGTCGAATTCTTGCACTCCGATGCATGAGAAGGAACTGGGCTGAAAAGATGGCTGGGAAAAAAAAATCTTTTGGGAAGCAGCAAAAGGCATGAGAAATTGTTCAAAGGCTTGTTGGGAATTGGTAGACATCAAAGCCCAAATCCCTCTAACATAGAGTTACATCTTTCTTGCCCTGAGCTTTCTCTCTCTCTCTCTCTCTCTCTCTCTCTCTCTCTTAACAGAAATGCAGCCTCAGAGGCTTTATGTGAGAATAGACAAGAAGGCAGTTTGACGCCCCTTTTCCCTCTCCTGTTTGTCCCCAAACACTGTACGTCCCAAACCGCTGTTAAACCTATAGTTGGCAAAGGGGTTGGGGCCAGACAAGATATCCTATTCTTTCATAAAGCATTAAGTGGCTTGACTTAAGTAGAGAAAATGATGGGGATGCCAAAAGATGAAGAAGGTTTTCCTCTCCTCCATTCAAACTGTTCACCTGGTAAGGCTGCTTTTGCTTTTAAAAAATGTGGCAAAAGTGACACATAACTCAGTCACTGGACTGTCTTGGCCCTTTGTGGACCAAATCGAAGCAGGTTAGAGTTAAACGGCTTTCTGCTAGCTGCTGGTCTTATGCATGGATTATAAAGTTGCTAAAATACAAACTTTGGCCATTTGGGACTGGGGAAGGAATCAATTTTGCCGCCTGCACTGCAAGGCTATGCAGAACATTACGGAAGATACCAAGAGGCTGAAAACTCAATTTTCCACCCTTGAAAGAAGTGATCCGGGGGCAAGGGAAAGACCTCAGCAGGGACAATTTGAGAGCAATTCCAGGGACAAATAGCTGGAAAAGAACTCACAGTTTCGTGTGTGATGTGAAGCCAAACTCAGCTGCTCACAAGGAGATTGAATTTCCAACAGTAATGCTCCCTGTATGTGCTTCCTATGGAAAGCATGTCTAGTGAGAACTCCCCTGGTAGCCGTTGTGAAGTCATCTGCAGAAGTGTTCTCCCCAGAGCAAGCATGGCTACCTTGCACTCGGTATCTGAGAAATCTGGATGGCTGTGTGTTCCCCAGCACAGATGCCTCTTGCCCTCGACTTCAGGCCTGGTTCTGTGATGGGACCATTCCAATCCTCTCTTGAAAGGCTCTGGTGGAGTGGGGACTGAGGAGTGAGGGAGCCACGGGTGTGACTGAGCACCTTGATGGAATCTGAGAGCGATAGTTGAAAAAAGTAACTTTTCCAGGTTTGCAAAAACCCCCACCCATCCTGAAAACTGCATGATACCTCAAATAGCATCATCCCCAGATGGGCTGGTACCAACAGCACCTCCAGTACGAGAGGCAGTACGTGTCTGTATCTCTGATACTGAGAAATGCAAGACGGAAGGCACATTGATAGTCATGTCCCGCGGGTGGGCTTCCCGTAGGCAACTGTTTGGTGGCTGTGCAAGCAGAATTTTGGACTAAATAGGCCTGTGATCTCATCGGATGCAGCTCTTCTTCCAGTTGGTCTGTTTCAGGATTATGCAACAGGGAGAGCATTTTTTAATTTTATTTTTTGGCTTGGTTGCTGTCCTGCAGGCAACCTTGGCTAGCTGAGGAGAAAGCACAAAAGTTTTGGCTGGTGTTGAACAAGGAGTTGCTGTCCTGCAGGCAGCCTTGGGTAGGCTGAGGAGAAAAGACAAAAGTTTTGGCTGGTGTTGAACAAGGACACGTCTCGCCTAGGAGAATCTCTTGACGGGCACAGATTTTGCTGGGCTCGGCTGTGTCATTGCCAAGGGTTAGGTCAACTCTTGCCGAGCGTTCTGTTCTGGCGCAGATTTAGACTGGTCAGAGGGTGCAGTTTTTCAGCCACGGAGAAAGCTTGAAGCCCACCTGTCCCCGGAGGCCACCCAGATCTCACTAGCAAAGCAACCGCAGCATGGAGAAGTTATTCTTCTGTGCTAATATCCCAAAAATCCTCCAGCCAGCGTGGGCAGGGCAACCTGTAGGCTAAACACAGTGACGTTTTTAACCTTTGGGAGTGAATTCTGGATATGGTCGTTTTTAAAAAAGAGAGTGAATCATATGATCAGACTCTGCGAGAACCACTTCCATGGTCACTAAAGGAAAGGCGTGCGATAAATACTTGAAAGAAAGAATAAACGTTGCACCCCAATTTTAGGCATCTATGTTGTGGGTAAGCATGATTGCACTGGAACATTGGATGCTTTCGAAAGCACAAACAGAGAAACTAGGAGCTTGGTGTCTACCATTTTCTTGCGTCCCCATTTTCCACAGCTTTAGCCCTCTGCCCAGCGAGTCTGGTGAGAATGTCCCACAACTGAGGTCCCCTGCCTGAATGCAGTTGTATTTTGGCAGGAGAGAATGGAAGGGATCTGGCAGGTAAACGCTATTTCCCCCCACAAATGCTTTCCATGTGTGGCAGAACTGTAGAACTCCATGCTATCTTCCAGTCTGACAGACCTTCCCGGAGGGTTGCTTTATCTCTTGAGGTGAATCTACCTCTCTGCTCAGGAAGCAGAGTATCAGGAGCCACCAACCAACTCTTTCTAATAGCCAGCTAATCAGCTTGAGTGACTCTACATATTTGTAATGCCCGCCTAATTTCTCATTCAAATTAGATTTTGGCAGAAAGTGAAAAACAAGACATCCCGTCTTCCTGGTGCGAAGCGTGGATTTGCGGCTCCCTGAGGAACATCAAGCAAGAAACTCCCAGTCCAAGGCCTGTACATGGTGCAGCTTTCATGGTGACTTTTCTCTCTCTAAAAGGGCTAGAAAGTAAAGGAAAGATAAAAGACAGATACTTACCTCAAGCACGGCTGATAGGATGGTTCCTTGGGCTCTTTGATGGAGGACAACCTTCCATTTGAAGGATTTCAAGAGGATAATTCCTCTCCTTGAAAGGGTCCTCCACGTGAAAGGCTATCTAGTCTAGATGTAAAGGGAAAAAAACCCCATAGAGGCCATGAACTTGCCCATCCACTATGAGCGCCGAGATAGCAGATTTAGCAGACAGATGTGTCATCCATTCACTGTTTCTCCCAGACTAACGACATGTGTTGTATTTCTGTTTGAACTTTAAAAATCCTCTCTTAATTTTGCATCTGTACACACAAAGTAGCATCTGCCATTGCATGCCAGGCCATCTCCTCTTGCTTGACGAAGGATGTGCAACTGTGTAGAGTGGAATGCTGCAACAAGCAGCATACTGAGAAAGCAATTGTTTCAAATTAAATACATGATATAATCTATGTCAAGAAGGTACATAGACTCTCAACATCAGTGGAGCAAGACTGCAACCACTGGGTAATATTATTTTGACTTTTCTCTGAATCCTAATTGGCGAAACGTAGTGAGTTGACTAAACAATCACCCCTAATTCTCAGACGGAGGACTCAAGTTTTCTGTCTCATTCCCTGCCTCCACTCCCCTGGCCAAGCAAAGACATGTCCGTTTCAAAGAAAGGTCAAACGGGAAGGTGTGTCCGGGTGCCCGGCTTGTGCCTTGTTGAAGAACAGGGGGTGTGAGATCCAATCCACAGCTGTCTCTGTTGTAACTTTAAAGCAACAACTCAAATGTTGCCTGCATTTGCCCTGACTTACACGGAAGAAAGACATGCCAGGCGAAATCCATCTTGCCATGGTTACTCAAAGAAGAACTTCCCTGGTAAGATCCATCTTGCTATGAATTTTTGGACTTTTAAGTTCTTCACACCAGTAGAAGCCCAATGAAGTAGGGTTTGATCCATGAAAGCTTGGGTTTTGTATGATGACCTGTTATTCGTCTATTGCCTACTCTTGCATTTGTATTTTATTATTGACTAACTTTTGCTTTTTCTTTTGAATTATGGTGCTGGAGGAGACTCCTGAGAGTCCCCTGGACTGCAAGGAGAACAAACCCATCCATTCTGAAGGAAATCAACCCTGAGTGCTCACTGGAAGGGCAGATCCTGAAGCTCAGGCTCCAAGACTTTGGCCATCTCTTGAGAAGAGAAGAGAAGACTCCCTGGAAAAGACCCTGATGTTGGGAAAGTGTGAAGGCAAGAGGAGAAGGGGATGACAGAGGATGAGATGGTTGGACAGTCTCATTGAAGCAACCAACATGACTTTGACCCAACTCTGGGAGGCAGTGGAAGACAGGAGGGCCTGGTGTGCTCTGGTCCATGGGGTCACGAAGAGTTGGACACAACTAAACAACAGCAATAAACTTTTTCTATTGCTCTGAAAACTGGGTCTGCCCCTCTGGGGTTGGGGATGCTTCTTGGGTTAAGAATCCCTGGTCTAAAAAGGCCTCTTGGTGGTTGATGTCCCTCTTTGTGGACCACCGGTAGGTAGGTACCATTTGATCTTGTTTATGCATCCGAAGCAACGAAAAGAGGCACCTCAGGGGAGCCGGAACGAGGGTCCTTTCTCTAAACTTGTCGCAAGAATGTTCGCTGCCCTGAGTCGGGTGGCGAAGCATTCATTAAACTGACCCCCTTACCGGGGTGGATGAAAAAGCCTCCCCTTGGCCTTTCGTTACAAAAAAATCCGCCCAGCCATTTATTTCAGCCTCAATAAAGCCCCATCGGCAGCTTGACTCGGTGGTTTCAGGCCCTCGCCGTTCAGTCTTCCCAAATAATGTGCTTTATTATGGTGCATTAAAGAAAATTGATTAAATTGTTTTCTGGAGAGGTTCCCTTCCTTCACCCCCAACCTTGCTGTGCTAAAACAAGACTAGAGTGGAAAGAGGAACACATACACACACACCTTCCCTTAATCGCCCTCCTTTGGAGCACAATAGTTGGGGTTTATTGCTGGCACAGGTAACAAAGGAGGGATTAAGGATGGGCATTTTAAAAAAGGGAAGGCAGGTGGGGAACCAGGAAAGGAGGAAAAAAAATATTGCTGTCAAAATGAGAAAGGGTGATGACTGGATATGCTCAGACCAGTCTCGGAACTAGCAGCATTTGCAATAGGATTGGACACCCACACTTGTGTGCACGTACACACTTCACAGGGCTTGGTTTTAGGGTTGATCTCTGCATGAGCATCATTGGTTCCCTTTGCTGGGCTTTCTCTCTGACCCCCTGAAATGTTGGTGAGGCAATCCCCACGCCAGTCCCCGAGACGGTTCCCTTTGCTGGGCTTTCTCTCTGACACCACAGTCAGAGTAAGTGGGCACCCCCTGAAATATTAGTGAGGCAATCCCCACGCCAGTCCCCGAGATGTCCAGATTCCACTACTGATGGCTTATCAAAGAGAATCTCTTTTCCTCAGTGTTTGGGAAAAATTATTCCCCAAATCTAACATAAAAATGGCTGTGGCGCCTAGGGGATTTTGTTCAGTCGTGGACCAAAAGGTAAGTTTCCAAATTCTTCCGCTTCCTAAGTTCTGTTCTGGATAAATGGTCATATCCCAATTTTCTCCCAAGATTGGTCTTCGTTCATTACAGTAGAACTCCCTGTCTGTCAGATCAGTATCAATGGATTCAGTTATCCGCTGCTCGAAACTATTAAATTAAAAAAACCAGAAATAAGTATTTACATGTATATATTTCCACTGTGTATTTACCAGAACTGGCCATTCGAGGGAGCCAAAGAACATGCTAATTAGAACATTCTCTATTTCTGCATTTCTCGGCATCTGTGAAGGGGGCTCCATGGATATGTACTTACTTTAATTTCATTTATTTATTACATTTGTATTTGTCCTTCCCTCTATTGAGCCAAATGCATTATTGTGTACAATACTCTCCTCCTTCTCACTCTGTGCTCACATCATCCCTGCGAGGTGGTTCGGCTTAAGAGTGTGACCGGCCAAAGATAAGTTGGCCAATTAGTTTCCTAGCTAAGTAGGAAATAATTTGAACCCAGGTCTCCAGAATCCTACTTGAACCGTGACACCACACAGATTTGATAGGAACAAGTGCCAGGTTAGAATTCTGTTCAGGTGTGTGTGGGAGGGTCCCCTTCTCATGAGCCCTCCTCGGTTTATTTGCCACCAACAAGTGAAATTCATAAGTGGCCTTAGTCAGTTCGGTATCAGCTTTTGCAGAATCAAAGGTTGGGAGTTAAATTCTCCACAGTGCGTCCCAGAAGAGGCAGCCTCTGTGACTTTGGGCAAGCTGCCCAGTCCCAAGATGGCTGGGATGGTTTACCTAGAAAACCCCAAAAACGGTTACCATAAGTCAGGACTGAATTGGTAGCACTCACTTATTAATTAAATTAACAAAATAACAATTTTAAAAAATAATCAAACGAGATAGTCACATACACCCACATAAACAGCGGAGGAAATAGCAAACTAACACACACACACACACACACACACACACACAGAGAGAGAAACACACACACACACACATCCTTCTTCCTAAAACCAAGAAAAGCAAGCAAACAAAAATACAATCAAAGCCACCCCCACCCCCGGCCACCAAAATAATTAGAATATGGCGAGATTTATCTTCCTTCTACCAATTGATGCTTTCTCTTTATCTATGATTCTATGATCTTCTTTGAAAACAGCGGGCAGCAGCAAAAAATAATCCAAGAAAGGGAACAAAGAAGAAAGGGGGGGAAAGCCCAAAGAAATTGAGGAGAGGGGGAAAAAATCCAACAAAGAATCTCAAGGAGGCATGCTAGCAGAGACAGGCTGCTTGGCAGTGGCAGCTTAAAAAAAAAAGTCCAAAGGAAATGGTGGGAAATCTCTCTAAAAATTAAGGGGGGGAGGCTTTCCACCCTTGACTGTTTGCTTCATCTGCACCACCCCAAATGTTCTGTGGGTTGTCCGTTACCAAAGTTTGGAAAAGCTACTTTTTTGGACTAAAATTTCCTTCCCTCAGCCTGAATGTTTACTGAGAGCGAGAGGTTTCTGAGAGATGCGGTTCCAAAGCAGCAGCAACAACAACGAGTGTGTTTGGTGGAGAAGGGCCTTCCCTGTCACTGCTTCCAGACTCTGGAACTCCCTCCCACTAGAGCCAGGCTGGGCCCGTCTTTGTTATTCTTCCGAAAGCAGGTGAACTGAAGACCTTTCTCTTCAAGCAAGCTTTCAATGAGTGAATAGCGGCCAAGTGGGTTTTTTTTTAATGGACTGTTGTGCCTTCTTGCTTTTACATGTGTTTTTAGTATTAATCTTATGTAATTTTAATATGATATTTGTTTAATTTATTTTAAATATTTTTATACTCTCTCTCTCTCTCTTGCTTTAAAATGTTGCCTTTTACTGATGTAAGCTGCCTTTGGGTCCTTTTTAAGGAGAAAGGCATGGCAAAAATATTTTTAAATAAAACCAACAAAAAAAACTTTTTCGGGCTCTGGAGCAGGCCCCACTGAATTCCCCTTCGAATCATGATTCTCCGTTCCTGCTGTCTTCGCAAAGCCAGCGGCAGCAACTTGGGGTCCTTTGAAAAGGGAGGCTTTTGGGTGATAGGGGAAGAGTAGGTCCATTTTTACTGGTGGTGGTGCGTAATATGCCAGAGTTCCCTGAATACAACAATTTCTGCTTTGTCTATTTGCTTGCTTGCTTGCTTGCTTTTTTATGTAACACGTTTTGATCCTCCTCGTTGGCTGAAAAAGTTCTCGGAGCAGCTTGTGTAAGGTGAAGGAGATCAATAACATGTCATTAAAACAGCAGACCGCTTAAAGAAGTGATGTTACTGGCCTCTCACTTCCGCCTGTTCTTCTCCTGTTCACAAGACAGCTGGCATGTCTGGGAGGCAGATGACTATTTTGCAAACCACCCATCCTCTAAAAACATGTGTCTGTATTTTTTTAAAAAAAAAACAGGACAGGGCGCCATGCGCACAGTGCGCACACTCCTGTTTCCAGACTCTGTGTGTTTCTTCACCTCGTCCAGCCACACCCTCTGTGCTGCTTAATAGGTTGTGATTGAATTAGGTAAGCATTTGAGTCCAGACACACAAACACACGGCTAGCCCCATTTCCTCTGCTCCATGGTAATCTAATCAGAGTTAAGTAATTAATGTCTCCCCCCCTTCCCCCTCTCCCTCGTTGTGTGTTGTGCTTTGGCCACCTCCCACTTTGCAGAAGAGGCATCCGTTTCCTCTTAGCCAGCTCGCCATTGTATCACCAGCTCTTCCTGTATCATAGAATGTCACGCCTGTGCGTATGCGCACGTGTGCATATGCACACGTGCGCATGTGCACCTCGTTGTTTGTTCAGCCCTCCGCCTTTTTCCTTTTTAATGAAATCTCAGCAAAGTCCTAACTGCACTATCAAAGGATGATGAGCTTAGTGTGACAAGGACGAGCAAGATCAGATGGGGAAAATATTTCATAGACAAAAGTGAGGATCTGACTGTAACATCCCAATCTCTACTCCAGGACGGCTGCCCCGAACCTCCAACCCCCCTCACGCGGTGCTGATGGCTCAGTTTTGTCCGCTGTGTTTATTTACACTGCAAGGGTTTGCTCTATCCTGTTTGAAAACCAAAGCAGGGGTCTGGGTGTGAGGTATGCTTAGGAAGCAACACAGAAATGTCCTGCAATCTGTTGCCAACTGTTCGAAATAAGACTGACGTTGCATCGGAGACAAGGAGCAAACGGAATGCGCAGTGAGGCATGTTCACATTTCTCCATGCGAGGTTCGAAGACGTGACTTTCCTGCAGTGCTTTCTCTGCCCAGAAACCCTCATTTGCCGTGAAGAAAAAGTAACTCTTGTCTGATTCACCTATGTATGGATTTGACCAAATGCTAAAACATGAACCAAATCTGAGCTATCTATATACATCTTTGACAGCAAAGGGCAGCAAACGAGCCCATGAGAATTTGTGGAACAGATTGTTGTTGTTGTTTAGTCATTAAGTATACATCTTTGACAGCAAAGGGCAGCACAACGAGCCCATGAGAACTTGTGGAACAGATTGTTGTTGTTATTTAGTCATTAAGTCATGTCTGACTCTTTGTGACCCCATGGACCAGAGCACGCCAGGCCCTCCTGTCTTCCACTGCCTCTCAGAGTTGGGTCAAATTCATCTTGGTCGCTTCGATGACCCTGTCCAACCATCTCATCCTCTGTCGTCTCCTTCTCCTCTTGCCCTTCACACTTTTCCTAACATCAGGGTCTTTTCCAGGGAGTCTTCTCTTCTCATGAGATGGCCAAACTATTGGAGCCTCAGCTTCAGGGTCTGTCCTTCCTGTGAGCACTCTGGTTTGATTTCCTTTAGAATGGATAGGTTGCAGTCCAGGGGACTCTCAAGAGTCTCCTCCAGCACCACAATTCAAAAGCACCAATTCTTCGGAGGTCAGCCTTCTTTATGGTCCAGCTCTCACTTCCATACATCACTACAGGGAAAACCATAGCTTTGGCTATGCGGACCTTTGTCGGCAAGGTGATGCCTCCGCTTTTTAAGATGCTCATGGACCAGACACTTTATATTAAATTCAGCATTTGTAGAAGTAAACCAATCAAAATAAAAAAAGTGCCGCATGATTAAAGGTGAAGAAACGCTACAACATAATAACTAAAATACAGCAGGAAAACATTAGGAAGCGGCCTCAAAATGCTTTTATTGAGAGAACTCACAGTCCTGCCACCTGGTAGATGAAGAACTAAAACAATTAATAAATAAAACATGAACCATCAAGGTAAAAGCCAAGCGTTGGGTGAAGAAAAGGATACTTTTCTATTGCCCAAAAGACAATTAAAATGGCACCAGAATGGTCTCTCTGGGAAGGCTGTTCTCTCATTGGGAAACTACCACAGAGAAGGCGTTCTTCCAAGTAATCATCATAATAAGTAGGTGCCATCAAGCCAGTTCTGCCTCTCCCTTTCCAGAGTTTTTCTAGGTATAGAGGACTCCGAAATGGTTTACTCTTCCCTTCTTCTTCGGTGCAGGCTGATTCTTTTCCCAGGAGGCATTTGGGGAACTGAAAAAGCTGACTCACTTAGCTATCCAGCGAGCTATTTTGTTAATTTCCTGTGTATTTATTATGTTAAAAGTGTATGTTTTGAAGGTTTTTTGGAGCACTATCCTGTTTGCTTCTGTGGGGGATGGGCTTCCAATGTTTGCATAAATCTGGTGACTTTCTCATGACAAGACCGTTTGATGCAAAAAGTCAGATTATGCATACCCGAAAACACATTTCTTTAATCAGATATGCACTGCATCGTTATCGGGGGGGTCTGCAAACCCGAAGATGTTTGCAAAGGAACTGTGGAAAAGGACTAGCGTTTTGTATCCTGAAAACTACAAAGCCTATGATGCAAAACTTCAGAGGCAATGCCACAGACTGAAGCAAGCGAGAGGGAAAACATCTGGAGAGGGTGTCGTTTACATACGTATGAAGGTAATTGTCGGCAGCACTCCAAAAGCTGTGATTGTGACCCACAAAAATCCGAATGCCACGCATTTCCACTCCATACACCCCCTACAAAAGCCCTTCTGAAAGCAACTTGAACATCCAGAGTTTGCATAAATGTATGGAAAAATCTGCTATATACAATCAGTCCTGTATCAGTTGCTATGGCAGTGCTGAAAAGGAAATTTATGTTACTGAAATTGCAGCATCGTTGTTTTGTATGTGAGAGCCAGTAACCTCTGGTCTTTAACTTCCAACGTTCTTTTGATGGAAAAACGGCCATTTTCAGAAAATTATTTCAGCCCATCCTTTCTTTTTCGGTGCCTTTCCCACACATTGATGTCCCTTTTGCCCTAGTCATCTGTAGGCCAGCCTTGTCTGTCCCTGTTGAATAGAAATCAAAATATAAATAAAACTTCTTTTTCTTTGGGGGTCTCTGTGAGTCACACACATCCAAGTTTATGGTGCGCATGTGCGGAAGCCTCTGAACATTCAGGCGAGCCTTTGGGTCACTCAGATATTCCTTCTATCAATGTTTCTTTCATGTGGGCTTCGGACCTTGCGGGAGGAAGCAGAAGTTACTAATTAGCATAAGGCATGGCTATTTCATGGAGCAGGAAGACAGTCCTTCCCCTCTTGGGCAGAAGATGCTGCGGTCCATCATCCTCTGACTGGCAGAACCTCCATCTCACGGGTCTCACAGACTACCTTGCTCCTCCTGGATGGGCAGAGCTGACCATATTGCAGGTTGTGTTAGTCAAACAAAGACCTTAGTTGCGTTCTGTTGAGTTCTTTGCTGAGAGGTCACCCGTCTGCTATGCAAGTAGAGGAGAAGTCAAGCTAATAGGGGTTGGAGCCATCCAAGATCTTGGTTTCTTCTGCCTCAACATTGCCTGACTGATTTTACCACATTGGCCAGAAACCTATTGGATATTTCTCCATGCACAAGAAGACTAGTGGAAGTTTCTGCAGCCAGTTTGCATGCCAGATTATGCATCTGACCTATTGCCAGCACCTTGTCTATTAGCCATGGCAACATCTATAATCTGTCTTGCACATTCATAAATATCCAGAGCAGAGCTTCTCATGTCTCCTGCATTTAGCCAACGGTCTTGATTTGATTTGGGTTTGGTCACTGGGAGGTAAGCACAACCTTTGTTTTGCCAGTATTGCTTTGCTCAGTGAAGGTCTGCCTGAATCATGTCTCTCCAATACTAGTGGAGGTCACCCTCTAATGCTGGCCTGTCTGCAATGCATAATTTGGTCCTAAGTCTGCTTCATCTGACTCTGGCTTTCTTGTCCTCCCCTTGCTTATTGGATGGGCTTGTTTATCTGCTTAGCTCCAACTCCATCAGCTGCCAGCGTCCTCTAGAAATATCAGGGAAATGTTCTCTAATTATCCCCCAGTTAGTTCGTTGCTTTTTCTTTTGGTCACACGACGCACAGTCAACATCACGACATTATGTCGCTAAATGTATGTCACTGGGTAGCTGCCGCCATTATATTACTGGCGAGTAATACATTTTTAAAAAAATTATATGGGAAGACACATTGGAGGGAGGGATTGCCCATGCTGCCACGTGGCTATCCCATGTCCATTGTGTGCAATGCATTTCTGCAGAAGCAGCCAATACAACAGAGGGCACTTTCTTGCACAGAAACGATCACTAAACTAAAAGTTCTGTCCTGGGGTATAATCCATGTGCCCAGGGCCTTAATTGCAGAATGGAGCATAACCCAGTTTGAAAAGCAGTTTATTAAACTGGAGTGATTTAAGCCGCAATCCTATACCCAGTTTGTTGGGAGTGAACCCTCACAAATTGCCTGGGGCTTACTTCTGCCTACCAACATCCAGGACTTTGCTATAAAGCACATCCTTCATTTTCTTACCGAAATTAGCGAGCCTTCAAGCGTTGGCTTTGTCCGGCCGATATGTGTTGGAATTTTTCTGTAAGTCATCAAAGGGCTGATCTGCGGTTGAAAGATTAGGGCACAGTCTTTAAAATTTAAATATATTTACACACAGATACATGTACACAGCCTCATGAACAACACAGGAAGAAGCTTTCTTTTCAAATCCAGGAAATATTTAGAAATTCTTTTTCCCCTTTTACCACTACCACATACTACCCTTCCTTCCAGCCCACACAAAAGTTTTGTGGAATTGTGTGTGTGTATGTGTGCAAGGATATCTCAAAACGGCACTTCCTTTAGCTTTGAAAGATCTGCCCATGAAAAGCACAGGGGTCCCTTGAGGATGAGCTGTTGGCCATTCGGATGCATTAAACAATTATGGGAACAAGCACAAGAGATTAGCAAAGGAAATACATCACCTTTCATTACCTTGCATTAAGATTCCTTTCTCCCATATGGATTTTTTTGAGCAGCTATGCTGTTTTAGAAGCTGAAAGAGAGAGAGAGAGGGAGACTCATTACCAGATTCTTAGTAGGACAGGGTTGTTGTGAAATAGCATCACCGCAATCTATTGTTTTATACTCCTCTCCCTCTCTCTCTCTCTCTCACTCACCCGACCCTGTTTTTTTCTTTTCTTTCTTTCAGAAGAATATGGGTCTCTCTTCAATAACTAACTGAACTGATCAGTGGAAGAGGGCAAAGGTAGGCAGAGATGGGGAATCCAGTTGAAAAACTCATTATCAAGTTGGACTTAAGTCACACCAGCAACTTAGACTCAACTTGGTCCCCCCCCCCTGTGATTTGGATTTGACTCATGACGTGGAACCCACACACACCCTCCCTTTTTTCTGTGGAGGGGAAAAAAAGCTTATATTTAATCGGGACTCATTCTCGGGGCTTGAGATTTGGGACTTGGTGCCAAAGACCCAAGACTCAAACTCGGGACTCAGACCCCAAAAGTTGCCAGCCTCCCTGATGGAAGTAAACCAGGTCCTTGCTGGAGTTAAAGAATACTTTCCTAAATATACAAAATTTGAAAGGTTGGCTGAATTTGCAATGTGTCTGCTGAAGCGGAAGTGAACTTCAGGGGAGTGGGGAGGAAATCAAAACTCAAATTTAGTACAAAATTCAAAAAGTTTTTTTAAAAAAATTACCATGGAAAATGTGTACTTAGATGACAACTTTGATTCGTTGTCATTTGTAAGATAACCACTGGGTTATCTTACAAATGTCATGCTGAGTATCAGCCACCTGTTAATTTGTTGAGGAGTTTTAAATTTCCAGTTAAATTCCTAGCTGTGCAGCACCAGAGCAGAATAGCTTAACATTTCCCAAAGCAGTCCACCCCTTTTCCTCATCCGCTGGCACTTACAGTCTCGACAACTTACTCTGTAACATCAGTAAGAAGAAAGGATAAAACAAACATAGTGGCTTTCAGCGACAGACTTCAACAGACTCTCTGACCGCCTCCAACAGACAACAGAGAAGGAAAGAGACACCGATCAGAGAGGCGGGGCTCTCTTTGAATTCAGAGGCAGGGGAGGAACAATTGGTTATTGCTGGATAGACAGATAATCACCCCGTCCCAGAAAGGTCCTTCCCAGCCAGACCTACTAAAGGCGGCATGCGAGGTTGCAATAACTCCAACATAATCAACCCAATCCATGACCCCAAAAGTGCAGCAGTTCAGTTGCCCCCAGCACCATCCTATTTATTTTGGAGAGAATAAAGCTCTGTCTTTGAGGAAATCAGCGTGATGGTTCCATCCAAATGGGCCAATCCCTCCTGATGGGGAGCGTATTCGAATCTGTGCCTCACAGGAAGATGAAGAGGCAGGAAGGCAAGTTTTAAAGACCGCAAACAATAGCTGCAATTCTAGGAGTGGAAACCACCAAATTGGAGTTTGCTGCTCACATACATGGCCTGTTTTAATCTCTACCCAGCATCCTTAGAGTGACCATCCTGGACGTTTAGCTGACGACGACGAAATGGTGTTCGGTATCTCTTTGAGCTCTCCTTGGCCCCTGATACTCTTTGAGACGAAAGACTCAAAGGGACAAAAATTTTCCCTCCCTTAGCTAAGAGGCTTTCTCATTTTGCACTTTTCTGTCCAGCTCCCTTGGGGTTTATTTCCTTTTCCTTATGCAACAGAAATCCAGGCGTAACCACCCCGTACGAGTTTTCATGAGGATTTCAGGCTCACATTTGCATTCAAGTTGACCTTGAAGGGTTGCCTCTAAACAGAGAGTCGTTCTTATTTCATTGTATAATAAACCTGGAGCCGTTCCAGAACCCATAAAACTAACGTCCCCAAAATTGGGTCCCCAGATGTTTTTCTGGACTACAACTCCCAGAAACGTTGACCGTTGGCAGGGCTAGCTCAGGCTTCCAAGAGTTGTAGTCCAGAAACATCTGGGGCCCCAAATTTGGGGTGTGTGTGACTACTGCTGTAAACGAACTTAGGAGAGAAACCAGTTTGTGAGAGCTGAGAAAGATGGGGGGAGAGATTTGGTTATAACGATTTAAAACTGCATTTCGGAAATTCTTCTGACACAACCAGTGGATTCTTTTCAAAATAGATTTTTTTAGAAATAATAGAATGTCGTTGAGAGAATGAAGGAGAGAGAAAGGCTACACTACCCTGAGGCTTGTGGAGCAAAGTCAGGATTGGACACATTATTGATAAAGGAATACAGGTCTGCGCTTTATTAGTTTGAAATGGAACAGAGGGGAGACCATTATAGCTCCTACTTGAGACAGCATCCTTCAGTGGTATCCCTTAACCCTCTTCTACGTCATGTTTAATGTGGCCAATTTCCAAAATAATATCTCATTGAACTTGAGGTTGTGAGGTTGTGAGGTTATTCAATCTGCCTACAATTTTTGACTTCCTTTTTAGCCTATCCCTAAGATTGCCAGCAGGAGACACTCTTTCTTTTCCCCCCTCCCTTCCAAAACCGGTGGATTATAAAGATGGGAATAATAAATTTCTGGACTACAACTTCCAGAATCCTATGGCTAGTGGGATTCTGGGACTAATAGTTCCAAGGGACGAAGTCTATCCATTTCACAGTGTTTCACACCAAAATTATAGTCTCCTTTTGCCCAGGGAGGGGAGGGGGGAGGGCATGGAGATGTTACTCGTCAGTGATTTTTTTTATTACTGCCCAAAGTTTTATAGAAGTTTTATAGCCACACAAAATACACACAGGGAAGCGTCAGGGTTGCAGGTGTGAGATTGCTGGCGAGGGAGAGCAAAAGGGGTTCAAGAAGGAAGAGTCAAAACGCTCACCAACAGTTTAAAAAAAACCCCAATGTATTTTGAGACTGCTATGTGCTCTAGCAGTTTTGCAGTTACTTGCATTTTCTAACCACCACCACCACCACCACCACAACATACCATCAAGTCAATTCCAAGTTACAATGATGTTTTCCATATTGGATTGCCATTCCCTTCTTCTGAAGGCGTCCTGGGACAGTCCAGCTTGCCCAAAGCTACATAGGCTGGGTCTTCCCCTAGGAGACACAGCTGGGAATCCAACGGCCAGCTTCATACCAAAACCACTGAGCTATTCAGCCAGGAAACTCCCTCAGTTTAATTATTATGCTTATCTGGACACATTTTACTGTCTTGCGCTCCCTCTTGTATTTCGCTTTAAGTGCTCTGCCTCTCCCCGCAC